CTGCTGCTATTATAAGAAATATTTTATTTTTATTTCCCCCAGGCAGGAGTGCAGTTGCCACCTTCATGGCCACCACAGCCTCTACCTGCTGGGCTCAGGCGATCCTTCCGTCTCAGCCTTCCAAGTAGCTGGAACCACAGATGCATGCCACCACGCCCAGCTAATTTTTTATTTGTTTGTTTTAAGAGGAGGTCTCGCCAAACTGCCCAGGCTGGGCTCAGGCAATCTTCTCAACTCCACCTCCCAAAGTGCTGGGATGGCAGGTATGCACCACCATGCCCAGCAACAAAGCTTTTAAAATAGTCTATGGCCTGAAAATGTGCCCTTGTGTGGGAGGCAAAAGGAGTTCAGAAGATAAGGCAGTATCAGTGCATGCTTCCATTTTCTCCCTTGCCCCCAAATTCCATGCTTTCACTGTTAATCACGAAAACTTGTTACTTAATAGCAATTCCATGAAAGGTTTTATTTTAATTTTTCAAAAAATTAAGGAAAATATAAATTACCCTTTAATATCAATATCATGCAAATTAAACAAAATTTCATGATAACTTCATGATAAGTGAAACTTCTGATACTGAACTAGACTATACATCTGATAATTAACTAAAGTATACATCTCATATCACCCACTTAAATATTTTACCTTATTTCTATACTGGAATCAATGTATGATTTATAATACTTTTTTATTGATGTATGATTTATAATACTTTTTTATTGAAAAGATGCTTTAAGAAATAAGAAAGATCATCCAAAGATTACAGCATTCTTGTTTCGTTTGTATAACAAATGTTTATTCACAGCTTACTCTCTGCCAGGCTCTAGAGATAATGGAATAAGAATGGCTAATTTTAAAGTAAACAGAGCAGGCTTTACCCCTTTCTTTCTTACTCTCATTTGATTTACAAAGAAAACAAAGCTATTTTAACTACGAACACATGAACATATGCAAAAGTTAAAATTAATCTACATACACACTAAAGTTCCATCTACACTGCCTTCCTCCTCATCCCTACACGGGATTTGGACTTTGGATAACCTTCTAGATTTTCTTTATGCAAATACGAGCAAATATGAATACACAGGTTCATCCCTCCTTTACACAAAAGGCAGTTTACTGTACATTCTCTTTTCACTCTGCTTTTTCCAAACACCAGTGTACACAGACCAACTTTCCAAATCGGCAGCCCCTTTTTGTTTTGTGTACAGCTCTTGAATATTACGTTGTATAGCTGTGCTACCCTTCATTCAACCAGTACACTACTCAAATATAAGGGATTTCCAATATTTTGCTACCACAAAAGCTACAATGAAAACTCCTGCACATTTTGCAAATACACCAGAATTTCTGTAATGGATTTCTAGAATTGACACTGTGATGGGTCTTTTTCTAGAAACTGCCGATTTGCCTTCCATGAGAGTTAAATAATTTTGCACTTCCATCCCATATGCATCTCAGATTTATTCTGGAAAAAGCTATTCCTCTCTTTGAGTCTTGAAAAACCCCTTGTTCATATGACAATTTTCAAAGATGTGCTCACTGCAATAAACATAAAACTCTTAATTTTTTTCCCAAATGCAAAGTTTGTTGACTTAGGTTTAAAAGCAAATAAAACTTCAAATTAATAAAAAAGACCTCATCAACACAGTAAATCACCATACTGCTGCCTAAATGTGCCAGGATAGCAACCATTTGTCTTCTGTGATCTAAAAACAAATATGCTCCCTGTTTCAGTTTTTTTTTTTTTTAATTCACATTCAATAGCTTATAACTGGGTAAGCAATCAAATGTTTTTAAATAAATGTTTCCCTGATATCAAATCTGTGTTATGTCTATATTTTTCTTTACAAGCTATAATTTGAAAGGTGTTTTAACCTTTATGCTTGCCATTTTCAATAGACGGTGTCACCAAATATATTTTTATTTCATTGTCCGTCCTATAAAATATTTAATAACTCAAAAACACTCAAGTCCATTGGACTTCCTATTTGAAGGAATCCTTGAGTAAATCCAGTTTCAAGATCCTACAACTGTTTTGTTAGAAAACATGTAAATGATCAACTGCACTCCCCAAATATGGACACACCAGGATATATGTGATCTATGTTGCATTTCATTCAGACAGAACTCAGTTGTGAGATGACCTCAACACCCTGAAAACAATGTGGCTAGACTAGTTCCTGACAACCAAAGTAAACTGCAAGAAGTTGCCACCCACTCATTCTATGCTCTGACAGTCAGAGGATGGGGCAGAACCATACTGAAGCTCTCACTCAAGTAACAGGTGTTAGGCATGCTATGATTTTTAAATGTAAGTCAACAGAATGCATTGATGACAAAAGGCAAGAATTGTCTAAGAAAGGTAAAACAAAACAAAACAAAACCTGTCACAGTAGCTCTAAAGACATAAAAGCTCATCAGGCTAGGATAATTTAGGAGAAACCAGTCCAACACGGCGTAACAATTCTGAGGAAATCACTTTATTTTAATTCTTTAAAATGATTGATATTCACAATGACAATTCTGAGCCATTAAAAGTCTTATAATTTATTCTGTTTAAGACAGCAGAGATGTAAATTTTTCCAGTGAATGAGGAAGCACGCAAAGTAAAATTTCTCACATAAAGTTAGAATATACTATGGCTGCCTTTTGGAAGATGAACTGCAATAAGGAGCAACAACACCTTGGAGGCTTTAAACATACACCTTCCTGTCTGTGCCAGGTCTTGGTTAATAGCCAAAAGAATTATTTCTTATTTCTGAAATCTATTCAGGCACATTTCCACCTAAATGATTGAAAACACTCAAGACAATGTCCTGATTTCACTTTGTGTACTTTAAGTTGTGACTGCCAAGGAGACAGGCTGGTCTGGTGTCTAGCCACAGCCTGCAGCTCAGTGACTCTGTCCAAGTAACTCAACCTCCCTAGCCCTCCCTAGTTTCTTCATCAGTCAAGTGAAGGAGCTTTAGGAAGCATGGCATGTTAGTAAACAGAATGAGTGTGCTCAACAAAAAGAAACAAGAATTATTTCATTAGGTCCTGTGTCTATATCTATATTATAGCTAGATCTAACTACATGTATTTTATGTTTAAACTATCTCAAACTATATGTCACTTTACTGTCTATTTCAGGCCTGTAGAAAAATAAATTATAATTACCTCAGAATCTTCCAACATTTCATATTTGTTACTGTCAGGAACATTACAAATTCCTCATGCAGTCATTTAAATTCACATAAAATACCACTATAACCAATTACCCTATGATATTAAATATTTACTAACCTGAAAATAAATTACTTATCCTCTGACAGCCCAAAAGCCCCCCACATGATATGAAACCAGGATATTTGTAAAAGAACAGTCACAGCAATGCCATCAAACACTAGACGAGATGGAACCATCCACCAACAGGAGAAAGGGTGAATAAATTCTGGCATATTGATCGCAAAGGAATAATATCTAATAATGACAATGAATGAAATAAAACTACATGCAACTACATGGCTAAATCTTCAAAACATAAAGGAAGACAGATAATACACAATTCCATAAAGGTTAAAAACAGCCAAAAAGTAAAACTTATGGCTTAGGAATACATATGAAAGGAATACAAAAATTTTATTAAAAACTTACATAATTACCATAAAGGTCAGGATACTGGTTACCTCTAAATAAAAGAAAGACCATATCAGGGATTTCTGAGATGCTAGTAGTACTCTGTGGTTCCAAGGATGTTTGTGATATGTTTAATAACAATTATTCATTGTATCATACATTTATGTTTCTATATCATGTTACATTTCACAGTAAAAGGTTACAATTCTCTCTTTCCTGAAATCATATTAACATATTTGTATAAGGAAAAAGGAGAGGATTCCTCTTTTTGCTAACAATAATTTTATTTTCTTGGTCTATACTTCAAATTTGTATTGCGCTATCTTAATAATAAAGAAATAAGTCACTATACCTAATTCTCTCCAATCCTAATTGGAGTGGTTTCCAAGGCTTTTCCAAGCTACAAACAAAACAAAACAAAACACTCCTTGAAGGAGTTTAAGGTCAGTTCCTGCTAGATCTCTGCTTAGTGCCTCAACAGTTTTTGTCACTCTTCGTTTCAAGAAAATGTGTTCTTACTTGAAAACAAAACTGTAAATAATATCCGTGTAATCATTTCATGCATGACGCATTCCAAACAGGATAGTTTTGTGCAAAGGTAGGAAGAAACACATTTTAACTCTCACACATTTTAAGCAATGTTGGGAATACCTGAGTAAGCATACAACACAAGGGTCCATGATAGACAGGCCATGGACACCACAGTCAAAATCCACCCTGTGCCACTCTGTGTACCTATGGCTCACTGTGAGTACTAGAAGACATGCTAGCTGGATTACTGGACAGATATACAGAACAAGTTACATTTAAAGTCCACTGCATAAAATGTAAAACAGGGTGATTCATTCATAATACATCCAAAAATATCTAATGTAAATTATATTGGAATGATTTTAAAAATTTCCTTTGCAAAAACAAAAGTACAGGGAATTGAAAATATTACAGAAGGCATAATAATAGTAAACTGACTTACATTACCAAAAAACACATGAAATTTAGGAAATCCTAAAGGGCCCCCATTTACAAGCATTCCTCAATGTATGTTGGTTACAACTTTTAGATGCCGCTGAACGGGAAGCCAACAACGAAATTCAGAAACAAGACTGGCAGCACTCTCATCAGGCTCCAGACACCAACATGATGGCACTGGCATGGCACCATGACGATAATAGCTGCCTCTGTTGCGTACTACTGGTTTGCTGTGGATGTAGCCAAGCATTCCCCTCCTTAGCGGTCCAGCTAACCAGTTATTTGCCCATCTATTAAGTGCCAACTTTAGAAAATTACACTGTGTCCAGCAGGGAGCAGCATTACAACAGTCATACGACTTAACTTGAACATGAAACTGACAAAAGAAAAAGGAGGGAAAACGCCCACTTACCATAGGTCATAATACATTCGATTTTTAGGGAAGTTGCAGGGCTTTCACCAAAAAAATCTAAAGCATGCTTCAAAGCACATGTGGGTGATCCATGGTTTCAGGAATCCTAAAGCAAGAAATCAGAATTATATTAGATGAATGCTTTTCTTACCCAAATTGAGTTGAATTAGTACATAATATGACTAAACGTCTTTCAGTTGTAAAGGTGCATCTTCCTCTTAGTGAGTCCATTTCAAACTCAGATATTCGATGACACTTGGATAAAATGACTTAAAAAACCCAAGAATATTGAAGTCCTTTACCCACCAAACAATTTAAGTAGAAGAAAGTAATTGGGTGACATAATTGATTTTAAAATCTCAACCCAGAAAGAACTGTGGTCAAAAAGTTAAAGGAGTTGCTATGGCAACCATATACCATTCATTAGACTCTTCTATACCTAGACAATTTGCAAACAGCGAGGATTCAAACATTAACTTGTATAGGCCAGTATGAATACCTGAGGTTAATTTTAAGAATTTTAAATCCAGTAAAAAAGTAGTTTCTAATGCTTGTGTGTAAGACGGATTAGTCGGATACTTACTGAATATGAGAAATGCATATAATATTGGAAAGAACCTCACGACCAGTTATGACAAAGGCAAAGTAATATATGATGTTTGATACTGATGTGGAAGTCAAAAATCTGCCTTATATTCAACTATACACATTCTACATCCCTTTTTATGACTGAGGGAAAAAAAATTATTGCTACTTTCATTTGAAATGTTAAACACTTTGCTTTGTATGGGTTTACATGTGACTTTTCAATGTCTACCTTAAAAACTAAATTTTTGCCTTTAGGAGAAGAAAATATATGCACATTCACCTTTAAACAAATACAACTGCACAGACCTTATATAATATACAATATCACATATGAATATATTAATAATATACAAATAATATTGAATTGACATTTAATAATATGTAAAACGGTTCCTACTATTTTCTGGCAAAATGACACAAGTAGTTTGACTTGAGAGAACGATATAAAGACTCTGGCTACTGTCTCATAATTTTCATTAATTTGACTAAAGCAGAAACTCTGAAATATTAATCTTCTCTCCTTCAAGAGCAAGCTATTCACTGCATTATTTATCACCTTTGCTCTCCTCAGCCTTCCTCTTATCCGGTCTCTTGTCTTTGCTTTTAGACATTTCACTTTTATGATAATTCTTCATTTCTGTCAACCTATCTGCCTTCTCCTTTGTATTGTATTTCTATATCAATCCTAATTTTTGTTTAATTCAATCTCCTCCCTTTATGACTCTTCGACTTTTTTCTTTTATCTTAGTACCTTTAAAAATGAGTTCTCTCTTCATAATACTGGTCTGTTTAAATATATCCTTTCATCCACTTACAGGCATCATGCTTGACCTTAACAATCTCATGTGATTGTAGGCTTAACTAAATATGCTTATATTTCTGTTACCCATAAAATTACAGTTTTCTGAGTTATTTAAATATTTAAAGAACTCACTAAACATTTTAGGTTCAATCTTGAAACATGCAAAAATCTCAAGGAAATCTAATTTCACATACTCATTCCCATCACCTGGAGACCACCACTATTCTAATACAGAGGTAATTTAGGATCTTGCAACATTGGTGTGATAAATATTGAGCAGCAAACTTCTTTAAGTCAACAGAACTTCAGTGTGGCTTATTCATATATATGTGTGAATGCATATGTTTGCAATATTTCCTAAAACAGCAAAGTCCACTACTAAATAACCTCCTAACTCTAATATGCATTACAAAGTCTGAGAAGAAAAGGGATTTTCCTATTCAGTACTCTCTAATATGAATATTAACATTAAAAGGTATTAGAAAGTTGTGAAGAAATCTCCTAATATTCACAAGCTTGGTAACGTTAAATATTTGTAAATAGATTATATGACACCATTTATAATAGCATTACCTGAAAAAAAGACTGTAGTGGGTTGAGGAATGTTCTCTCTTTCTCTCCCACCTCCCCACACAAACTCATGTCCACCAGGAACCACAGAACATAAAACAACACTGTGGTACTGGCATAATGACAGACCAACAGATCAAGGGAACAGAATAAAAAGCATGGAAATAACCCTTCACATAAATGGTCAAATGATTTTTGACAAGGCACAGGCCAATATGCTCAGTTAATTTTTTTTTTTTTTTGGTAGAGATAGGGTCTCTACAGAAAACAATGTGGTACTGGCATAATAACATATTTACAGACCAGTAGATCAGAATAAGAATAATAGGCATAAATCTTCATATAAATAGTCAAATGATTTTTGACAAGGGTGCCAAGACCATTCAGTGAGGGAAAGTGCAGTCTTTTCATAACATGGCATTGAGACAACTGGCTATCAACATGCAAAAGAATGAAGTTGGACTCTTATCTTACACTATATATAAAAATTAATTCAAAATGGGTCAAAAACCTAAATGTAAGAGCTAAAACTATGCAATTTGTAGGACAAAACACAGAGCCAAAACTCATGATATTGTATTTGGCAACGATTTCTTGAATATGACACGAAAAAAACACATGCCACAAAAGAGAAAAAAAAACAAACAGGTAAATTGGATATCCTTAAATGAAAAACTTTGAGCATCAAAGAATACTATAAGACAGCCCACACAACGGGAGAGAATATTTTCTTATCTCATATCCAATGAGATTATATTGTCCAGAATATATAACAAACTCCTACAACTCAACAGCAATCAGCAACAACAAAACACCACAATCATAACCCAATTCAAGACGGGCAAAGGATTTTCAAAGACATTTCTCAAAAACAAGATATACAAATGGTTGATATACACATTAAAAGATGTTTAACATCGGGAAACCCCTTCAGGTCCCCTCCCACTGTGGGAGCTTTTTAGTCCTCTCAAAAAAAAAAAAAAAAAGATGTTCAACATCACTCATCATTAGGGACATGCAAATCAAAGCCTCAATGAGATTTTACATCACACTCACTAGGATGGCTATTATCAAAAAAACAGAAAATAACAAATGTTAGCAAGGATATAGAGAAACTGTAACCCTTGTGCACTGCTGGTAGGAATGCAAAATGGTACAGCCAATGTGAAAGACAGTTTGATGGTACCTTAAAAAGTTACCTATAAGGCTGAGGTGGAAGGATCGTTGGAGCCCAGCAGGTCGAGGCTGCGGTGGCCGGGAGCGGCCACTGCACTCCAGTCTGGGCGACAGAGTGAGAATCCAGCTCACACACACACACACACACACACACACAAAAGTTACCTATAGAATTACCGAACAAGCCGGGATCAGTGGCTCAGAGGTGAGTGAATTGTGTGAGCCCGCAGGTTCGAGACCCACCTGGGCAACTTGGCGAGACCTCATCTCCACAACAAATCAAAAATTAGCTGGACGTGGTAGTGCGCATCTGTAGTTCCAGCTACTTGGAAGGCTGAGGCGGAAGGATCACCGGAGCCCAGCAGGTCGAGGCTGCGGTGGCCGGGAGTGGCCACTGCACTCCAATCTGGGTGACAGAGTAAGACTCCAACTCAAAAAAAAAAAGAATTACCGAACAATCTAGCAATACCCAAAGGAACTGAAAACAGAGACTCAAACAGATACATGTAGGTCAAATGTTCACTGCAGCACAATTCACAAGAGTCAAAATGTAGATACAACTAAAGTGGTTATCAACAAATGAATGGATAAACAAAATGTGGGGTGTGTATGTGTGTACACATACCACCAGATGGCCTCTGACTGAACAGTGGTTCGACTCGTGATTTTTCAACTTTATGATGGTTTTATCAAGGTACTAAATGCATTTTTTTTTCTGAGTCGGAGTCTCACTCTGTCGCCCAGGCTGGAATGCAGTGGCACGCTCCCGACCACCGCAGCCTCGACCTGTTGGGCTCGAGAGATCCTTCCGCCTCAGCCTTCCAAGTAGCTGGAACTACAGGCATGTGCTACCACACCCAGCTAGTTTTTGTTTTTGTTTTTTTTTTGTTTTTTTTTTTTTTTTGAGTTGGAGTCTCACTGTCGCCCAGACTGGAGTGCAGTGGCCGCTCCCGGCCACCGCATCCTCGACCTGCTGGGCTGCGGCGATCCTTCCGCCTCAGCCCTTCCGAGTAGCCGGAATTACAGGCATGCTCTACCACGCCCC